GGGCTCAGCGAGGCGAACGAGTCCTAAACAAGTGTTTATGGAAGCGGCGTGGCCGGCGGCTGCCTGGCGCCCTACTGCTCGCCCTCATCCACTGCGCGCCGGGGGCTGAGAAGGCCGCGTCCGCGCTCTCCGCTGCTGCGGCGGCCGCGACTCCGGTCCGGGCTGCCCGCGGCCGCATTTCACAGGCGCATGCCGCCAGCTGCTGTCACCGCCACCGCGGGCCCCACGCTGCAGGCCAGGCGGGGGGCGAGCGCAGGTGGTCTCTCTCCAGCGGCCGGGCAGTAACAGACTTCCGCGGCGGCCGCGCCTCCTCCGCACCCCCGGCAAGCCCCGCCCCGCGCGGCACGCCGGGAGGCGTGCGTACTTGCGCGTACTCCGCCTCTTTGGCCCCGCCCCCAAGGTCCTTTGGGGGCGTGGTTTATCAGAAAGTTGACTGGAAAGAGATTTTCTCAATGCATTTGTCCCACTTAAGCTGCTCGAACTGCTTATGGTAAGTCAAGCATTGTTCTCCGCACGGAGGACACCAGGGACGGATTACCCAGGGAACAACCTGGTTGTTGTTGTTGGGTGCCTTCCAGTTGGTTCCCACCCATAGCGACCATATGCACAAAAAGTGAAACCCGGACTGGCTCTGCGCCATCTTCATAATTGTTCAGCCAGTTAGCACGGGTTCCCCAGAACCATACCTAATTTTTTGTTGAGTTCAGCGAACCGGTTGTTAAAATGGCTCTTGTAATCAGGCTTCTCCCCAAGGTGGGCAGCTAATCTCCTAATGTGGAAATCACAAATTTGCTTTCCTTACTCTTTTTGAACGTTCGTCTGCACAACAGTGTATTCTATGAGCCTGTAGTAAACGTTCATTCCATCCATCGGTATAAAAAAACTAGAACTATACTTGTAAACAACTAGAAGGTGACACCTTCGCCTTCATTTCGTCTTTGTGTTATGCCCCAAATTCCCACCAGATATGAATGAATTAAGACTTAAAGCATTCAAAGAGCTAAAAATGTTATCAGAACAATTACTGTAAGTTCAGCAAAAGCAGAAGGGAATTTATCAAAGATGGACATAATATGTTCAGAATGTTTCTAATATATCATTCAAAAACATTGGCTATTGTCTAGTTGGCCTACCTAGTGGACCCTACTCCTAGAGTGAAAAGACGCTTAAGGATAACAGACAGCTGATGGTGCTGAGATAAAAGTGAAGAATATTGCAAGAGAGGATGCCAATCAAGAAGCAAACTGGTTGTTAAATTAATTCCACACTACTTTGAGCCCACTGTTGTAGTCACCCTGTCAATCCATCCTTGCTTTTTCTCTCTCCCCCTCTACACTACCAAGCATATTGTCCTTCTCCAGGGACCGGTTTCTCCTGACATGTCCAAAGTACTTGAGATGAAGTCTTGTCATCCTTGCCTCTAAGCGAGCACCCTGGCCTCACTTCTTCCAAGACAGACTGGGTTATCCTTTAACAATCCATGGTAAGTTCAATATTCTTCGCCAGCACCATAATTCAATGGCATTGATTCTTCCTCCATCTTGCTAATTCAATATCCAGCTTTCAATGCATATGAGACAATGGAAAATACCATGAATGGGTCAGGCTCACCCTAGTCCTCAAGGTAACGTCTTGCTTTTCAACATTCTAAAGGTCTTATGCAGCAGATTTACCTAATGTCATGTATCCTTTGATCTCTTGATTGAGGATCCAAGGAAGACAAAAACTTCGACAACTACCTTTTTTCTGTTTATTATATCACCTATTGGTCCAGCTGTGAGGATTTAGGTCTCTTTTACATCGAGTTGTAATTCATACTAAAGCCTGCAATTCTTGATCTTCATCATGAATGCTTCAAGTTTTCCTCACTTACAGCAAGCACGGTTGTGTCATCTGCATACCGCAGGTTGTTAATAAGCTTTCCTCCGATCCTAATGCAACATTCTTCTTTATATAAGCCAGCTTCTCTGATTATTTGCTCAGATTGAATAAGTATGGTAAGAGGATCTGTTCCTGACACACACTTTTGCTGAGTTTAGAGCATGCAGTACGCCCTTGTCCTGTTCACACAACTGCTTCTTGAGTCATGTACAGGTTCCACACAAGCACAGCAGTAGCTGGTCCAGTCAAAAAACTGTTCATTACCAATTAGTAAATGGACACAAGCAAGCTGTGCTTACCTCCTTACCTCGCTTACTGGGTGGTGCTCCATCCCCACTTAGCCACTGCCGTGAAGTCAATTCTAACTTGTAGAGAACCTTATAAGCTAGAGTGGAACTATGGAACTGTCTTGGAGGTTTCTGAGACTCTGTTGCCAAGAGTAGAAAGCCTGGCTTTACTCCTGCTGAGTGGCTGGTGGTTTCGGACTGCTGACCTTGCTGTCAGCCAGCCAACTTGTAACCACTGCATCACCAAGGATCTTCCACTCCTCTTAGGAATTGTACATTAGGAAATAGGATTTTATTCGGTAGGCTGGGGCCGTGGGTTTAAGAGAGTGATAAATGCCACCCGTAACTTGAAGCAGAATTTTTTATGTGATGGAAAAAATGCTTGCCTTGCTTATTGGGTGATCCAACACTGGAGACCAACATTCAGTCAGTGTTCATTGAGATGACAGTGCTGTAGCCCTGGGCACGCCTCCTCCAGTCAACTAACAGTGCATCTGGCGTCTGGCAACAGAACCAAACCAAAGTCACTGTGGTCAATTCTGGCTCATATCAACCCTCCAAGACAGAGCAGAACTGTCCCCATAGTTTCTGAGGTTATAAATCTTTATGGAAGCCGACTGCTAGAGGGTGCTTGTGTTAGTCTGGGTAAACTAGGGAAACAAATCCACAGAAACTCATGTGTATAAGAGAGAATTTTATATAAAGGGTAAGTGTACATTAAGAAAGTATCTCAACCCAGTGCTGCCCAAGCCCATAAGTCCAACATTAGTCCATATGTCCGACACCAATCTACAAAGTCCTCCTCAATCTCACAAAACACACACAATGATGCCGACTGCAGGAGGAAAGCCAGATCAGTGAGCGTGTAAGCATCTCAGTGCTGGCAGGGGTCTCCACACAGCTGCTGCTCCAGCACCCAGGACTCCATCGGGGTAGGTCCAAGTGGATTCTCCTCAGGGATGTCTCGCAGGAAGTGAGCTTTGCCAGCTGAAGCAGGAAACTGGCTAAGGCAGCTGCACCCTGGTCCAACCATCAGAAAGCAAGAGACCTGAGAACTAGAAATGTGAGGCTTACCAAGCCATTTATCTCTCCACCCTTCAATTAATCCCACATATGTGTATCGACCAGGTTGGCACAATAAACTATCTCAGTGCTGTTTGCAAACATGTGGTCACTGACTATATGCTTGGAAGTCAACTGCTTGAAGGTTATCTGCCTCAAGGTTGTCAGCTATCTAAGGCAATCAGACCCCATTGTCTGTCCCACTCTAAGTAGGGCCCATTCTTTTCTGATAAGGATCATGGATTGTTCCTCCGGAGGAGAGCTCAAAGACATCTAAGGTCAAGCCAACTCATAGGACCATGGTTAGACTGCCATCTTAATTCCAAAGTCCACCCATCTTGTTACATATATGCCTTTTCACGTCTATCACATGTGTGCCCCTAGTGCCTCCCCTTCCTATTGTGTGTAGACCCCTAGCTTGTCCTCCTTCTGTTATGTGTATGCCTTTTATACAACCCCTTCCTGTTATGTAGTTAAGTGTATTATGATAAGCCCCCCCACTGTAATTAAGGCTTGCACACCCCGAGTGTATATATAAGCCTTCATTGGAAATATATTCTCTGTGTGTGTATGGACCTGGCTCCTGAACTCATGGTGGTCCTGGAGGTGAGCACTTGCATGCCATATCTTGACTGATGTCTCTTTAATTTTACCCCTCAATTAAACAACCATCCCTTGGACCCGTTCGATTTGGGGGCTTGGTACCCCACACATAAATACATTTAATTTTGGTAAATTCTGCTCTTTATTGTTCCTCTTTAGTGAATTAAAATTAAAAATTATATTTTGTGTATATATTAATGATGCATTCTAAACTTTCCTTGTACATATTAAACTATTGTACATAGTATATGTATGAACTATTTAAAAGATTTGTCTAGAATAAGTTTTTCCACACTTCGCCTATTTTAGAACTTGATGCTCTCTTCTTCCTCAGCCCCTGTGTGGGTTATATTTATATTTATATTCCTATCCATATCCATATGTTGCCTATTCCCTCACCACTTCATGATTATTGGTTTAGTTGAGTCTATGGTATTCTTCTTGATATGGCTGTTGTAGCCATAGTCTTTGACATGAGAGATGTGGCATAGTAGAGTCAGGAGCACCAAGCATACAAGATAGAGTTGTGAGCTTCCCAACCCACAGTGCAAGAAAGCTGAGTACTTTCAGGCAGTGGGTTCACTTTCAGAGCAGGTTGCTTCTAGGTACTTAGTGGAGGGAGCTAGGTTTGCCAACTCACAGAATTATAGTTGCATGTGCTTTCAGGCCAAGGCTTACATAAGGTAGAGTGGAGTGACTGGGGCATTTATTGGCAGCACTAAAAGAACTTTGTAACATTGCCTAAGTAGGGTAGAAGTCAAAGGGTCAAGTGGCTGAAAGGGCAAGAACAAAAGAGAGATCTATCTACATGCTAGACTGGGAGGAGACTCTCCTGACCAAAGAACTGTGTCCTCAGATTTCTGATCCTGTTAACGTCTGTAATGAACTCCATGATCTTGAATATTAACTGTGAGTCCTGTATGGCTGTGGCAATGAATTATCAAACCCAGAAGGGAAGTAGAGAGTTCCATAAGAGGGACAGTTGGTATCAGATTCAGTAAAGAAAGTTAGAAGGTAGAGACATGCCTGACCTCATCCTCATAGGAATCTTCCAAGGATTAACACTGATGGTGATTCTCCTCCTTCCCCCTTGGGTAGTCAGAGGTGGTCAAGCATAATGCCCACACCAGTTTTACAGTTGGTGTCAAGAGTGGGATTTGTTGCAATGGCTCCCTGTTCCTGTAAACATGGAACTTTGTAAGAAAAAGAAAGAAGGGGAGCGGAAGTGAAATGATTTTCCCCAGCCCCCTTTAGCATATCCAATCATGTATAGGTGTAAGGTAGACTTTCAAGTTCTCTGCAATCATAATAACCAGTATTCATTTCCACTTACAATAGTAAGTAGGAGAAACATTCAGTATTCATAGTTTAGACAGATATAGCCCTAAAGACATACTTCTTCAATTACTAAAGTTCAATCTTCTCTACCAGATAGTTACTTTGTTATTGTTACCTATAATGGTTGAAAGGATGATAAGAAATTTTGTGCTGCAGTCAAGAAAAGAAAAACTGCTTCTAGAATTGACT